GAGGCCCAGGAATGTCATTCGAGGTGCTAGCAGTAATCCAAAGCAGGCCTTTCCTTTCGGAGTAAAAAAACCTCTGCAGAAAAACTGACTGCAAACTAAACATAGGAGGAGCACTGGGAAAAGAAATGTTTCCAGCGCAGAGTCTTCAAAAAGCTCCCAGTTGGAATACCTTCATTCCTTTCCTTTTCATCCGCACTGTGCCAGATTAATCGCATGGTCTTTTCCTTCAATTATAAGCTCCCTAAGAGAAGGGTGACAGTGAAGTTACCTTGACTACCTCTTCCCAACGCTCCTCCCACAGGAAACATGACTCTTTGCACAAAGTGGACACTCCATTGCTCAGTCCAGTATTTACTGGACACCTAACTACTATATGGCAGACGGCATATTAAGCTCTGGAGGTTCAGCTTGAATGTCTGCTAAAGTGACTTGTAAATAAAAGGAAAGCCTAGAGTCATCATCCAACTGGACTGTAGGGATGCTTGCTTTCACTCTTTGGTGGCAATTTTTAATTAAACATGCACAGGCATTGACAGCAGCCAAATGACAGAAGGCTCACTGTCACTGCCTCTAAGAAGTTCCAGGAGGAGTCCTGCCTGGAGGAAGGCGGGCGTCATGCTGCAGGCGCCACTGTGCCCCGCTGGAAGGGGGCCGGCTTGCACAGCGCGCCTTCACAAGCCCTTCCCGGCAGCCCGTGACATAGCTCCCTTTTCCTTCTGCATCGGATAGAGTCAACATGACGAGCTCTTTCTCTTAATGACCAAAGGGACATTTCAATAACTCCTTTCTGAGGTGAACCTCAGTTTTCTAGAATCTAGAACAACAAACCTAAAATTAAATGGGCTCATGTTATTTAACATTCAAGGGCCCCTGAGCATCTGTCTCAGAGACACTAATTGCTTGCTATTTTAATAAAGTGGTGTTGGTTCTAATGAGATGATTTATTTTTAAAAAAAGTAGAGTGTGCACACCAAGATCAGTTTGGGCTGGGAAGAGATGGCCACTTGGGGCCAGGGAGGAGATGGGACATTTTAACCTGACAGCAGTGTCTTCTCATGGTTAACAGACTATGTCTCTGCATTTGACAAATTTTTGAGTCATCCAAGGGCCACATTTCCAGGATTTCCTCTCTTCATATTTATACGACTGACAGGTTTATTCTGCTGAAAGTTCAGAGAACTATAGGTCATGGTGCAGACTTTTCTAAATACAAAGAGCTTATTATACAGAATTGGATCCCATCCAAATGCCTGAGCAACATTTTCAGTGATGACATTAGGAATTTTAGGCAACTAAAAACCAAAACAAAAAACAACAACAAAACTTTAGGGATCCCTTTGATCCTAGTTAAATGCAAACAAATAGAAAGATCACAAGGTCCTTCCTGCTTACCTAATATGTACACCCATCAGCAATGACGTTAGAAGCAGTTGACAACAGTGGTGTGTCAGGGTTTGTCCCTGGGTGAGGGTCACTGGGATCCATAAATTCTGACAGAGGAGATCCATGAAATCTCAGAAATCAAATGCAGTATTTTGCATAGGAGTGTTCTTCTAGAATGTGGGTCCATGGCCTTCACAATTCTCAAAAGATCCAAGATTCAGAACAGCATTAAGAACAACTGTTTTCCTTCCTTCCTTCCTTCCTTCCTTCCTTCCTTCCTTCCTTCCTTCCTTCCTCTCTTTTTCTCCCTTCCTTTTTTCTTTTTGTCTGCTTTTTCTTTGTGGACATCTAAGGCTTTAAACATCCTCAGAAAGAGAAGTGTCTAATCATTAGCAGGATCATGGACCTGCTAGCTGTGACTTTTGTGTATACATGCAGGGTTTTACGTCTTATATCAACATGATTATTCTTTATTGTGGTCATTAGGACAAGGAAGGTCAATGATAATCTTAACTCCCATTGAAACTGAGTTTTTTCTATATGGGGTAGATAACAAAAATGAAATAATTTCTGGCTGCACTCAAATCCTACATTACTTTCACAAACGAATCTACTTTTTCTTAGCAATCCATGAAGCTGACATTTTTTCCAGCACATTTTATCTTCTCAATCCCAGAGTCCACCTTTACTGTTGAGGTCAACAAGTGTTGACTGAGCATCCCAACATTCACTGACCCTGGGTACCAGGAGTTTAATAACAGAGCTCCTGCTCTTCAACTTACATCCCATGTGTCAGAGAAGCAGATTCTGTTGGTGATTACTCCCAGGTAAAAGGAAAATTGAGAACATTTCTTCAAAGAAGATAAACAAATGGCCACCGAGCACATAAAGACACTCACTCATCATCATTAGCCACCAGGGAAATGTAAATTAAAAAGCACAATGAAGTACCACTTCATACTCACTAGGGTGGTTATAACTAAAGAGATAGGCAATAACAGCTGTTAACAAGGAGGGAAGCAGAGAAACTGTCATACATTGTAAAATGGTATAGCCATTTGGGGAAACAGTTTGGCATTTCCTCAAAAAGTTAAACATGAAGTTACTCTATGACTCAACAACTTTATTCCTAGATATAGAACCAAGAGAACTGAATGCATATTCATATAAGAACATGAACGTGAATGTTCATAGCACATTATTCATAATAGCCAAGGAGTAGAAACAACCCAAATGTCCCTCAGCCGTGAACGGAGAAACCAAATGTGGCACATCTCAACACCTAGGCGAGATGTTAATAGCAGGGGAAGCTGGAGGTAGCTTTGGTGAGAGGGTACCTAGGAACTCTGTATTCCCTGCTCAACTTTTCTATGAAACTAAATTTGCTAAAACAGAAAGTCTATTTAAAAATATGGTATATCGATATGGTAGAATATTACTGAGCCATAAAAAGAACAAAAGTGCTACAATGATGAACCTCAAAAACAAGAGGGCAAACTCGAAAGGCTGCAAGTTGTATGATTCCACCTACACAAAGTGTCCAGAACAGGCAGATCCACAGAGACAGAGAAGACTAGGTCAGTGGTTGCCAGGGCCCCGGAGAAAGGGAGCGTGCGGGGTGTCTGCTGATGGGCACGGGGCTTCTTCGGGGGTCATGAAAATGTTCTGGAATTAGTGATGAGGTTTGCACAGCCTTTTGAATACACTGAAAACTAATGAATTGTACACTTCGAAGGTGTGAATTTTATGGTGCGTGAATTATATCTCATTATCTCTAAAGGACAATTGAGATGAAGGAGGGAGGCAGTTCTTGTCTTTGGGTACCAAGGGGAAAGTTTTGCCACCCGAAATATGCCTTTTGGGGAAACATTATTTTTAAGCTGGGTATTTTTAAGACAGAAGAGGCAAGAAAAGCATTTACCTCCCCCTCACCTACATAAAGGAACTCGGATAGAAAAATCTGCTTACAGGAGGGGAGCTATTCACTCTAGTGTAATACAATCTAAGTGTAGCAGACCTGAGAACCCTGCAAAGGCTGTTTGTTAGACTTCGTTCTGCATCCCGTTGTTTCCGAGTGACCTCGCAAGAGTTTGTTTACCAAGTATTTGCTGGTTCTCATCCTGTGAGTTGCCTACTTTCCCTCTGAAGTCTCAGATCCCTGCCTCCCTCTCTTTTGTCCAGAAGGGCATATAAGCTTCACCTGCCTGGTTTGTCCAGGGGTCTCCTGTCCTTAGGGAACCCCCACATGTACGTATGTGGTCAAGTTGGTAATTTTCTCCTCTTAATCTGTCTCATGTCGATTTGATTATTAGACCAGTCAGAAGAAAAATAGAAGGAAAATTATTTTCCTCCCTCACAGTACACAAGGTAATGGTTTTATTTGTCTATAATGGCATGACATTCTTTACCTCATTGCCTCCATCCTGTGTGTTGAGAGAACCCAACACCCTTTTTATAAGATCCGTCCTTCTCTTTCATGTGCTGTCTTCCCTGCTGTGTATCATTCCCTTTCTTTTTTATATGATTCCAAGAAATGGACTATGAACAAATTCACCACGACTAACATTTATCCAGAGCCTAGGAAAGACAGGGGTTCTTTTTCACACAGTTTAAGGTGTGCTCTGAGACTAAACAACGTTCTCTTTGGTTGACTGAAGTGCAAGATGAAGAATAATCCATTAAGGCACACTGTGTACATCAATTATTCAGGGAGAACAAAAGCAGACAGAGATGGAAGAGGACACAGGACCTTCCAGTGGAAAAGGACCCCTGACCGAGCTGCAGCTCCCCTGAAATAAAGCTGTCTGTAGCTCCTTGCACAATAATGTCACCACCAAACAAAAACAGAAGACAAACGAGGACTCATGCAAGCTGCTAATCTGTCTTTCTGGGTTCATGAATATGTATAGTATAATGGGATGTTAAAGAAAATATGCAATATTGAGGTTTCTCACAATGCCACGCTCATGTTCTTTTACTTTAAAGTTAGAACTTCAGTTTCACTAAAACTGTATTTGCTCACTTACTGCATACATTTCTCAGATACAAAATATTTACTTATACATCTCAAATTCTGAGAATCAACCCTTTCAATGTTCATGGCATCCCATCCAATACAATAGTGATCACCATTTCGTCTCACAACTTTCAATATTTTGTAATTCTTGAATATCTCTATACATCTAACATCATATTCAAATGTCAATCTTTAGAACAAATAAACTAACTAGGCCAGCAAGTGTGTCCAGCCCTAAAGATCTGCATCAAGATAACCTGCTCTTTTCATAATCTGCAGGCACTTCAGATGGTACCAAGTATCTTCTTAATATAATTTATGTTGGCATTAACTATAGAGTTTAAAAGCCAGATCATCCAGTTTACATTTTTTCCACTTGGCTCTGTCTCTAGAATATGTGCATGTCATTGTTCTTAATTTTTAACAACAGTACAGAAAATACTCCACTCTTCGCCCCCACCTCCTTTTTAAAAAACAGGGGTTTCTGGGTACCAGGTCCAGCATTAATGCTCCCCATCTTGATACGCAGGTGTTTCACTTCAGATGTGAAATCACCCTGGTCACACCCTGCCAATAACAACATGAATATAAGCGCATTTACCTGGCTTTACAAGGCCTGACTTGGGTTCCTTCTTATATCGCGCTGACTGGATGCTTCCGTCACCAACCATTCTAATTGTGCATTTCTTCCTGGTAAAGTCTTCATCACTTCCCGGGGGAAAGCCCACAGGACTGTTCCCAGTGTCCGAGGGCGTCTTCACAGGAGACACTGACTGGCTGCTAGGACAGCCCGTGTCATCTGCAAGACAAGACCCAATACATGTTTAGCGAGGAGGAGGAAATCCATGACGGCCAGAAGTGTGCACTGTCACACACACGAGTTCACGCACATGCACTCCGCTTATCAACCCCCAGAGTAACGCCTGTGAATAACTCTCCTTTCATTTTCCAAATGTTGGCCAATCATTTAAACAGAGAAAACAGCAACTACTCAAACAGACAAAACATATTTTAAGGCAACACTGATAAATCACTGTAAGTTTTTGGATCATAAATATTTCTGTAACATTCATGTTGTCAAAAGCTAAAGATTTGTCTAGTTTTACACATTAGGTAGTTGCCTTTTGGGTCATAACTGTCCATGGATTTTTTGATGGGGTTATTAATAAAAAGTTCACCACAGCAACTGGAATCATTCATAGGAACACTTCAGAGGTGTCTTGTGTTAGCAAAGACAGTTATTTCAATATTATTGACCACACCCAGTTTCTGATCACTTGGCCCATAATTTCATAAACAGGGTGACAGATTAGACAACCAGCATGAGGAGTTCAAGCAAGCACTGAGAAATGATCTTGTTTTATTATACGCACCGAACCAAAAATATATGAATCAGATATTGTGCTGTCTGGAGTAAACAAGTGAAATGAAATGATACTCAAATTAGAATCATTCCCTTAACTTTCAAGTTTCAGATAATTCTAACAGTCATTATTATAAATTAATAAGCCTGATATGCCCTTGTTTGTACGGGTCAGTTGGTTGGAGCATCATCTGCAGACTGAAAGGTCACGAGTTCGATGCTCAGTCAGGCACATACCCAGGTTGTGGGTTCGATCCCCAGTCGGGGTGTGAGCAAGAAGGCGACCCACCGATGTTTTTCTCTTGCACTGATGTTTCTCTCTCCCTTTTTCTCTCTTTTTCTTTCTCCCCCCATCCTGTCTCTCTAAAGCAATGAAAAAATCTCCCTGGATGAGGATTAAAAAGTATATATATGCATGATACGAAGTGACCTGTGAGGACGCTTACTAAGCAAATAGGAATGTTGTATCACTGATTCCTGTAAGTGCTTTCCATATTAAATATTTACGAAGGCGGTTACTTCATTTGTACTTTGATGAGGAAACCTGTATGGGAATTTAATGCAGATCAATATTACTTAAAAGTATGTCCATTCGAATTAATCAGTTAGTGGTAGTTTTCATTACTAAGTATATCTTTGTTATTCAAATATATTTTAATGCAGACTTACCTTAGAAATTAGTTAGACAAAAAAAAGAATAGACATTTAGTATGAATAACTTTTAGAGCACTATTCAACTTTTATGAATATTAAAGGAACTAAAAATAATTTGCCATCTATGAAGGACTATCTTAAAACTTGATAGATTGAATAAAGACAGAAATAGAACTAGGCCTGAGTAAAATACATCGATTGCCTGAATTTAGAATCCATTTGAAGAAACACCACCATTGCTTCATTTTTGGCCTTTATTTCCATTTTTATTATGAAATATCCCAGTTCCTGGAACAAGTGAACTTGGCAGTGAACAGGTAAAAGGATTTATTTCTCCGAATATCCTTTTTTGACTTTGGACACATCGAGTGCACAGAGGACCTCAGCAGCCCATTTCTAGACGTGATGGTGCCTTGTTTGTGCCTCTGTCTCTGCTGCTCTTCCCACTGTGCTGTGCTCCTCCTGAACCCGGAGGAGATGGCCCCGGATCACAGGGGATGAGAACCCCTCTCGGCTGCGACTGCTAGGCTATTTCATCACTTATTACCTCTGCCTTTCTCTTGTATGTGCATGTCCCACACTTCATCCCAAAGAAACCAGACCTCCGCTCCGAAGGTGCAAGCCTGCTAATTAATTACTCAGATGGATCCCTGGATCCCAGTGCCCTGACAGCCCAGCAGGCCCGCACACAGCCTCAGGAATCACTTTCCTGATTCTTTTCCCAAAGCAGATAGAGCCTCCCCAATGAAGTCTAATCATTCAAAATTACCTCTTGCCTTTAAAATCATTCCCTTATGAGTCAGGTCCATAAAATTCTTCTTTTGAAAGAGAGATGGTCCAAATAAATAAAAGTCCACGCTTCAGATTCTCCACCCTGAAGAGTAACTGTTTTTCTGGAAAACTCTCAGACTCAAGGGGACAGTAAACATTTTCCAGTATTGAGAAACAATGTCAACATTACGCTTTAAATAAAGAGAAAGCAAACGTGTTTTGTTTAGTTCTCTGATCATTTTGCTCAAGTTACATAAGGAAGAATATGTACCCACCACGTTTTCAGTATGAGTAATTTCAACCATTAAGTGCTGGGGTCTTACTAAAAATTGGGGGCTGAAATTATTTATAGTCAGGAAGGCAGGAGCAATTTTTCACCTGGCATGTGGGCCTCACCTGTCACTAATATGCAGAGCCAGTATCCCCGGGGACAGGTATGGAGAAGATGAAAACCTAAATAAGCTTTTCACTTGAGTAACCACATACAGCATGTGACCCACTACATAAACTGGGGCTCGCCCAGCATCTCTTACTGGTCTAATACTTTGCTTCATATTGAAGAAGAAGCACTAGGAATATAAGACATAATCTTCCATTGGCTAAACAAGTATGTATCAAGTCTTGGCACTGCACTAGCCCACACACATTATACCCAGTCCCCATACTGATGGGACTCATAAATAAGCCAGAATGCAAGTGATATTCACTATTAACTGGTAAGCCGAGTACGACAAATCCATATCCGTGAAAATCTGTGTTATCAGAGAAGCCGGGACATTTGCCTGTTTTGTCTAACAAAGGACTCTCGTTTGGGAAAGGGCGGGGCCATTCATCTTCCTGCTGCAGAGAGCACAGGTCAAGTTGTGCAGTGAGACCGGAGCAAAGGCAACAGAGCTTTAACACCAGAGAGCCATCTCGTTCCCCATGGCGCCCGCGGCGTTTTCCTCTGTGACACTGAAGTGGTGGTTTTTCCTCAACAAGTCATGGGTAAGGCCCCTTCTCCGCTCTCTGCCTTCCCTCTTCCTCCTCCTTTAAACTTCACGGTCCCAGTTGGAAACAGACCACCCGTCCACATAAAGACAGTTCCAAAATTCTGTGTAATATATCCTTCATTCACATTTACTCCAAGATTCTAAGAATAGCGAAGACAATTTATGTTCCTTGGCTGTTCATGTCCGATCTTACTATGTGCCAAACCATATGCGGACCAAGCACAACTTCAAGAGATTCATGTGTTAAGCCTGCTCTGGTTAAATCCTTTGAGTCCGCCTCTGTTCCCTGCTTCTGCCTTGACTCCCGAATCTGTCCTGTGGAATCCATAGATTTCTAAACACGAAGTTTATAACTATAGCTCTTGTTAGCTACGTTAGTATAAACAAATTATCAATAACAGAAATTTCTATTATGATACCATGAAGCAACTGTTTCTGGCAGGAAATGGCAGAAATTCTGAATGATCTACCCCCAAAGTATGGGGTGTTCCACATTCTCAGAAGAACACCAGAGGAAAAATTAGAACATTTTACTCTGGTTTTGGCATAAGGGAAGCTTTGCTCTGAGGACTTTAGGGAAAGGCTGTCTGCGCTGGAGAGGGAGAAGTCTTTCTTTTAAAACACAAAGAAGCGTGTGTGCGCACACATTCACACACCAAGTCTTACACTGTTGTTACAGTTCTTCCTCTATTATTTGTGGTTAAGTATAACTCCCTTACACACACACACACACACACACACACACACACACACACACACTGGAACCCTGTCCCACATTTTACAGTGTGGGATCCATTTTGAAATATAGGAGGATTTCTTCACTGGGTCAACAACTTAAAATCCCACTTACAGGGGCCCAGGATGGCCACTGGTGAAACTCAGGTAGCAGTGGCCCTCATCAAGGCCACACCTAGGTGACTGCCATCTACAGGGAAGGAGACTCATTTACATGTCCTCCTTGATTTACAATCAGGAATAGGCCTTTTGGTCTTATTCTTGTTCATTTGCTTTCAACCTGTCAACACAAAGGATTGAAAATAATGGAAAGAATATTCCCAGGTCCAGGAAGCCCTGGAAGTTGAGGCTTAATAACTAAAGTGCTGTAAGAACTATCCCTAGGAACTGGTTTCCAAACTATTGTTAAGGAGAAAAAATTTAAGGTCTGTAAAGACAAATGGGAGAAACAGCATTGATTACAATTTCATAGCTCAGAATTCATTATCAAGTTATCTATTTTCCCTCTTTGCATACATTACAGCTCTTTGGAAATATGGGAAATAATCACTAATTATCCACTTAACAGTTCTTTAAAAAGTGTGTATTAGTATCTTGTAAAATAATTTGAATCCTATTTTGAATGCCCTAAGAGAACTTACTAATAAGGAGAATCTGTTGGGATTTTTAGAATATTAGCTTGTATTTTTTATTATAAAAGTAATAACTCTCATTGTGGAAAAATCTGGAGCATAGAAAAGTACAAAAAGTTAAGGAAAAAATGAAGAGAGAGTATTTTCCTATCATTGTACTACCGAGAAGAAACATTGAACAATTTGGCATCTTTCTTATTGATCTTCTCTTAAATACATATGGTTGTTCTGGTTCCTTGTTTTTTTGTTCTGTTAAAGTTTCAACTTATATTGTAGATAGTTTCTTTACTCTGTTACTGAAAATGTACCCTGGAACTTGTTAGACTGGAAAAAAGCTATTGAAGACTAACAAGAGCCACTCAAAGGGGCCCCAGCTGGCCAAAGATGGAATAATTTAAGCACGAACAAGAATAATAAATGCAACTGACTGATAACTATTGGATATTTTAAAAAATCTATGAGTTCATAGTTACACAAAAAAGCAAAACTAAAGAGGGAGAAAAATTCCCCTTTCACCCACAAGAATTCCAACCTACTGGAAATCACTGGATGTGAGCCAGGGACCAATTCTTTATGTTGAAATTTGACAATTAAAAGGAAAGAAAAGTTAGCATATACTCCAGATATAAGAACTGGTTCCTATACAAACTATATTTCAGTATATTGATGTTGTAAATTCTTCCTTACAATACACACACTTCTTTGTGTTTAAAAAAAAAACCTCCTTCCTGCCTTAATGAAAGATGGAGTAGTAGAAATAAAAAGTTACCATTTTGTAGTTATTTCTAATTAAATTTTCTAGGAAACAAGCATAATTAATACAGTAGAAGGATCAGTGCCCATTAAGTGTTCTTAGCGTCACCACCGGCAGGACAACGGATATACGCCATCCAATGGGATGAGAGATGAAGCCCCACAACACCCTCCATAAGGCAATCTTGCCACAAAAAATTACCTGGAACCGATTCAACTTTGAAAGCTACTGACCACCTTATAAAATACATGAAGAACAGTGTCATGAGTTAAATCAGGGCTTGGCAAACTGCAGCCTTTAGGCCAATCCTAGTTCACAGCCTGATTTGGTAAACAAAATGTTACTGGACACAGCCCTGCCCAATCCTTTACATGACATTTACAGTGGCTTTCAAGTTCACAGTGGCAGAGCTGAACAATTGTGACAGAGATCCTCTGGCCAGCAAAGGTGAAAATATTCACGACCTGGCCCTGTGAAGAAAAAGTCTGCCAGCCTCTGGGTTAAATGATACTGTCAGGAAGCAAGCAGACACTTTGAGACAGTTGGGGCTATTTCAATGCTCTTTGTCATACCAAGGAATTATGGTAATTGCCTGAGTAGAGAAAATGGCACGATGATTATGTAAGAAAATGTTTATTTTTTAAAAGAGATGACTGCATGTAGGTACACGTAATGATGACCTGATGTCTGGAAATTTGCTTTAGAATGCTTCAGCAAAGAAAGAAAAGAAAAAGGGGTATCTAGATGTAGCAAGTGTGACAACACCTTGCTATTGCTTAGTCCAGACAAAGTTAATAAGCAGCATATTGGGGTTCGCTTCAGTATTTTCTCTGCTTTTAAGTATGTTTTACAAAGTTTGAAAATATTTAATTTCTCCAAATCGTTAAATGAGTAACTTTAAAATAGATATGAATATAACATTAAAAAATCAATCTCTTCTTCAGGGATATTTCAGGTTATTTCTAACTTTCTCACTATTATTAAATTGCTTTAATGACATCTTTACAGGTAAATATTTTTTGGATTACCTTACATAATTGATCTCTAAAATTAGTGGAATTACTAAGTCTTCCAAGTAGTTTAAGACAACTTAAATTCCTATATAGTTGTTATGAGGGTATCCCATTTATCAAATGATTGCCAGTACTGCTACTATTTTTGCTTGCATTTTTGTCAATAATAAAAAATATTTCTGTGATGTTTTAGTTTGCATGAATTTAGTTATCAGGGAGGCTGACTGTCTTTCCCACGTTCATAGGTGTTTTTACTTATCCTATGAATTGTTCACGTCCTTTGACAATTTTTCTATCACAAAGTTGAATGATTCCCTGTTGACTGTAGGAAATCCTGGTCCGTGAAAGGCGTCAGCTCTTTGTCATGTCTCATCCAGTGTGTCGTTTGCTTTTAACTTTATGTGTTTGACTTTCAGACATTTTTTATTTCTAGTTGCCAAATCTGTCCATATTCTTCGTTTTCTTCTAATGCTTCAATGCTTAGACTGTTTTTCTTTACTCCAAGATCGTTTAAATATTTACTTATTCTCTATTCTATACTTTTATAGCTTAACTTTTCATTCAAAGGAAGCCCCTTCGGAATTCACTTTAAATGTAGTACGAGGTTCATAGTAACATTATGTTTTAAAATTTTTAAAGAAATGTTTCTTTCCATATTACTGTGCAGTGCTTTCCTGATAAAAATTTGAAAGCAATGAATATTTTTTTGCAAAAGGAATGTAAATATCTATATATATTTTAAAATTCTACATCTTAAAATACTAGGATTGTCCAAAGTGTGTGTTATATAGTTTTCTAATATTTAACTGAAGGGCCTAACTGCCAGGGCTACAAAACACAGTTGGGGGCAATTAGGATGACTAACCCCTGTTTACTGTCCTTGCACCAATTACATACAAGAATAAAACACTGGATTCTAGAGATTGCAAATAAAATATTTCTTCAAAATCAAAGAAACATCTCTAATAATTTGGGGTCTAGATTTTTAAATTTAAACCGCAGAGCTCATTGCCGAACTAAACAATTCCAGAAGACATCATTTAAACAAAACATCAGGCAGAGGAAAATGTGGTTTTGTGCCATAATGCCTTGAAACATTCAGTTATGGTTTGATGCTATTCAATGTTCAGTTGCATGTTTGGAGGAAAAAATCATTGCTATTTTAAGGAAACACTCCTTAAAACTTGGAAAATTTAGTTGATTCTCATGAATGACAGAGGTGTTCCCAGACTACTTATTCATCCATTCAACTACTTATTGAGTATCTACTATGTGTCAGATACTGCCACGGTGTTATTATTCTTCCTGCTCTAGGTACTGACACTTTTTGAGATAGTCTGATGAGGACAAGTAAAATGCCACATCTTAAACTGCTCGTTGATATGAACCCTGTGAAATACCACAAACCACTCGAATGCAGAAAAGAGGTAAGAAAAGTACTCAAATGCACTAAATACAGGTACGAAAAGTAACATTTATTAAGTAGTTATCATGTGGGAAGAACACTACTTTTATCATATAATTTAATAATATCTTATTTTGTAGGTGGTAAAATTGAGGCCCAGGGAGGTGAAGAATTTCAGGCACACATCTACTCAGTGACTCAAGATTCACTCAGGTTTGTCTAAACTTTATATAAAGTCCTTGTTTTTCTAACTACCAAAAGCTAGCTGTTTTCTAAGTTTTTCTACATGTTTGTTCTCAGAGGAAACAGCAGCAATTCTGGGAATGCTCAAATTAAAAACAGACAAAAGGAAGCTGTTAAAAAGGAGCTATCCCATAATAAACAGACCACAAACATCTGAGACAAGAAACTCTTTCTAGATGGTTCCAGTTTTCTAATATCCCTGCTTTAACACAGTAACCATATAATGCTTGCCATTCAAATGGTTTTGCATTCTACATTTTCAATGGCAAAATCTGAACTTCTATTCCTTTATTTAACTGTAGCATCTTTTTGGAGTGAGAATTCACAAGTCTACAAGGCACTACACTAATTTTGCTTCAGTATTATGTAACACTACCTAATTGCCAATGTTGAGGTGTAAGAATCTCATTCATCTGTCTATCCATCTGTCCATCCATCCCTCTGTCCATCTGTCCATCCATCCTTTCCACAAATAATTACTGATTTCCTGCTGTGTGCCAGGTAGTCTTGTCAATATTGGAAATGTAGGAATGATCAAGACTCTAAGATCTTTGTCCTTGGAATTCACATTCTAGTGGGGGAGAGAGACAGTTAGTGAACAAGTAAAAAAAAAAAACACAGAGAAGATACTTTGATTGTGATGTACTGTTAATGAATCAAACTGGGTGATATTATAAACACTGACCAGATGGGAGGTGGGATGGGATGGTACTACATCAGTTAGGTTGTCAAGGAAGGCCCTGAAGAGGTCACCTGAGCTGAGACCAAAACCTGAGAAGAAACCATAAAAGAGACACGGGGAAGAACTCCAGGCAGTGGGAACAGCGAGGAACTGGGTGCACTGAGGAAACTGAAAGGGGTCCAGGAAGGCTGCTGGGAAGAAAAGGGCCGATGACGAACTTGACGGGAGGTAGAAGCCTGAGTACGTACGAGACTGCGGGCCAGGAATCCGAAGTGGATCTGAAGTGCACTGGAAGCCGTAGGATGCATTAAGCAGGAGATGCATTAGGATGCATTAAGCAGGAGATGACAACAACTTGGTTTGTGGAGAAGAGATTGTATTAGTTATAACATATCTCGCTAATATGTACTGAGTGCCTACTCAGTACTGGGCATGTTCTAAACACTTACTACAAAACTTAATCTAATATCCCCTTGAGATGGGCTACAAATACAATCCCGCTGTGCAGAGGATGATAGTACTAGCACTAGTGTTTAGGCCACCTGCTGAGGTCTAAGTGGCAGAGCCACGACATGAATCAAACAGGCTCAGAGCAGAAGCAAATAAGCCCATGAGGAGGCCACTGTCATCACAGACATGTGAGATGACGGTTTGACTAGGAGGTAGTACTGAAAATTGAGAAAAAGTAGATGGATTTGGGATAGATTTTGAAAAAAGTAATTGAAAGCCTTAATTTATGGCAGTGAGAAATAGGAAGGGATCAAGAATGTCTTCTAAATTCTTCACTTAAACAAGGAATCTGGTGGTCATTTCTGAGCTGGAGAAAAATGTGTGTGTAGGGGGTGAAACCAAGACTTCTGGTTTTGATGTGAAATGTGAGGCACAAATTACCCACCAATTCAGAGATTATCAAATAGGCGGCTAGATCTGTGAGCCTGAAGTTCAAGGCAGAGGTTGGGAGTATCGCCGCACTACAGATGGGAGCCCTTGGCGAGGGCAGGAAGAGAGCAGGACTGAGGACTGTGACCTGGGGCACTGTGACATTGTGGGGACAAGAGGTGGGGGTGAAGCCAACAAAGGTGACTCAGGAGTGACCTGAGAGGCAGAAGAACACTCAGAGGGGTGGGACCAAGCCAAGGAGAAAAATCTTTCCCAAGATAGGAGCTTGATCAATTATGCCTAATGCTGTTGAGAACTTGAGGGGAATGAAGGCAGACGACAGAATGGGAGACTCGCCAGTGTGGCCACTTACCTGCTTAACAAGGGCAAGTGGGAGACAGGATTTTGCAGAAGTTTGGCTGGGAAGAGGAGCAGAGAAATAAGAGAGCAGATGCAAGCTGATGAGGGGCCAAAGGGAGCTTATTTTGTTCAAAAGATGCACATACTTGCACCCATGTGTATGCTGATAGAAATGAGCATCTGTGCGCGGATGGCAATTCCAATAAAGCACCTCCGCTAAGCCATGCAGCCAACATCTATACAAATATAGTGGAGAGTGAAGTAATTATTTAATGAACGTCTTCCTGGTTTCTTGGAGACAAAATAATCATTTCACATACAAACATTCCTGGGATTTCTGAGCTATTTTGAAGCTTTGAGTGCTCCCATAAAAGTCGTTCAGGTGCAGCGTCCCCGGCAATAAGAGAGAAAGCGAAATGAAGCAAGGCAGGGCTCCATTTCTCGCTATAACTTGGCACTCTCTCTGAAACAAGGACCTCTCCTTGGTTTTCTACCAAGCATCAGCCAGGTTGCTTGATTTGCATTATCAGCCAAAGGAGAAGGAATTTGTACAGGAAAAAATATCGTGGTCCAAATATGAAATGTAGTATGAGTGAAGAATCTAGGAATCTGTCTGGTTTGGGGGAGGGAGTTGCTGATGCTGAATTTGGGAAACAGGGTGGCTCTTTCATTGCCAGAGACAGGTGAGCCCAGCACAGGTAAGGGGTACAAGCTTTAACTTCTCTTGCCCTTTCTTTCACAGAGTGTGACTTTTCCCAAGTAAGCATGTCACCGTTACCTTTGACTTTCTTTCTCCTTAGCAATACTAGTTTATTTGCCATTTCCAAGCCATACCTTTTCAAAGACTCAGTGTTTTTGTTTGTTGTTAGGTTGTTTAGCAAGAGAAAAGGCAGAAGAGGGAGAGGAAAGGCTGGAAGAACCAGAGAGACAGGAAGGAAAGAGAAGAGAGACAAAGACAGAAGCCGAAAAGTTCTCTCTTATTCTCCTGAAAACCTTACAACAAGCAAACGCCAAGCCGCTCTAAGGTCCCATGAGTTACAGCTGGCTCCCTCATGGCCATGTAAATATTCCTCCCTTCCTTCCATTTTTCCCACAATGAGTATCTGAAGACAATAATGGTGACGAGGGCTAAAAACGGGAGAATGCTAAGGAAACAACAACGTTCACTACGATTGCTACATTTGTGTTTTTTCTATTTGGAGAAAAAAAGACTTGTTTTAGATGAGACATGTGTATCATGGCATGTACTTCTTTTCCTTTTTTCCAGAAAAGAACAAAGGGAAGAGAGAGAGAGAAAGAGGGAACACACTCAGAAACAGTCTAATTCCAATGGCATTCATACACAAACTTTTGATTTTTGAAAGTTAGCCTCCCAGAATAAATGTCCATCCGCAGGAGAATGGCAGAAGAAGTGATGGCCCCCTGTGGAGTGGAATGTGCCCTGGCACAGCGTGGACGGGGGACTGCCATACCCTGGCATGCAAGGACAGGTACCGGGACCGCCCGCAACACACATTCCTGGACGGGAGTCTTGCCAGTAGCGTCCACGTGCTAGTCCCCTCCTAGGATTGGTCCCTTGCCCAGAGCAGATGTTCGATGAGTATTTGCTTAACAAACTAACAGAAAGGGTCACAGATTAATATAGCACAATCTCACTTGGGCAAAAAGCAAAACAGAATAGATCCTGTAAACCGGATGACCTCTATTCTGACATACGTCTTTGCTCATTTCCGTTACATTTAAACTGGAAAATATATGATAACAGGCATTAAAGAAACACCTCAGAATAAATAGATGGTTAGGTTAGGATCCAGCAGAGCTCAAGAATTCTGAGGGTTAGGTCAGCGGCTAAGAGGACGCCTAACTGCACCGCCACCCACACCGAAGTGGAGAGGACAATGGCTGAGCTGGGCGGGAAGGGGGAACCACAGGAAAGTTCATCAGAGGGAAGAGTGGGAGGATGTGTTTCTACAGGATGGGGATGAGTGCAGGAAGAGTCCACCTGATGAGCACTGGCCTCACTGGGACGCAGTCAACCTGAGTGACTGGCCCCCTGGAGCCTGATAGTGGGACTCGGGTGTGACCGTGGGGCGCCTGGACGTGAAGCAGGCTGCCCAGTGGTGTGAGCAGCAGCTGGTCAGGAGTCTGTCTGCTCTGGCAGAGGAGGGGCCAGGTTGTGTCTGCAAAGCAGGAGAATGCCAGGCTGGGTGGCAGGGGAGGTTTGGGGCCGTGACTGCGCCCAGGAGCTGGCAGAGCCGCAGTCTTGCATACCTGGAGTGCTCTGAGGCTCCCCGTGGTTAGTGGGAGGGAACTGGCACTTCCTCAGAGTCAAAAGCACCAGGTGTAAGGTGGGTGGTGACTAGTGTCAAGCTAGAGTCCTGGGAAAGTGGGCGTGTGGCTTTGTGCTACATTCCTTCTTGACCTTAAACTGGGCTGCTGATTTTTCTCACGGTTTTCTTTAGTGGGGCATTTTCTGATTTTCTTAGCAAGAGATTTCTCTTTTGGCCACCCACAGCACGGGAGGGCATGGTTCTATGATGAAGATTATTATTTTTTGCTTGGCAGGAACTTCTCAGGTCAGGATTGTCGTCTTCATTTAATAAATCTGTTAAATTGAGTACTGGGTATGGCTCTAAGCTATCTTATTTCCCCAACTGCTAAGATAGTTTTCTACTCTTAGCAGATTTTATTAAATGAATGAAAATACATCGCTTGTCCTATTCTCATAATTGTGCCCTGTACCAAGTCCCAACAAACACTTACTAAGTAACAGTTCCACGTCAGGTGTGATGCAGGTATGATACTGTTCCTGCCTTCCTGGAGGTGATAGTCAGCCAGTCCACTGGGGAGTCAAGTAATTAAATAAGAAATTTGAAAACCAGGTCATGTGGTATGAGAGAGGAAGCATACAGAAGGGACACCTAACCCAGAAATGCGTCCTTCGGCTACCTACCTTCATCTACAGACATACTTATCTACGTAGGTGACCTTTGAATAGCATGGGTTTAAACTCATGGGCTCCAGTTTTACATTTTTTCCTCAGTAAATATACAGATGGCCCTCCGTTTTTATCCCTGGCTTTTCTGGTCTCAGGCTGGTGTTCAATCCACTGAGCCACACCAGCCAGGGCTTATCCCTGGCTTTTCTATCCACAGATCCAACCAAGCTCAGAACAAAAACAGTATTTTGGGATCCACGCTTGGGCATTCACACTTGTGCAGAGCTGACTGTATGCATTGTTCTAGACCATTTTATATAAAGGACTTGATCTTCCATGGATTTTGGTATCTAAGGAGGGTCTGGGAACCAGTCTCCGGCAGACACCGAGGGATGATGACAGTTAAGTCTTAAGTTATACACAGAATTTCAATGGCACGGAGGTTGGTACTTGTAACCCTTGTGTCGTTGTTCAAGGGTCCACTGTATTCACACCCAGCCTTTCTTTCCTTCCTTATATGTCTTTTTTTATCTACCCCAGTATCATTACAGTGATCATTTCTCTACTATTTTCAGTATCTTTTTTACTGTGTTTCTTTTTATTGTGTATTTCCCCTCAGCCTAAAAACTTTATCAAAATACCTGTCATTTGATAAACATGCTATCTTTATTATACATGCAGCACTTTAATTTTTTTCAATATTTGATGATTCCAGAGGGAGAGAGAAAGGAGGAAGGGGGAGGGGGAAAGAGAAAGAGCTAGACAGAGAGAGGAAGGGACAGAGAAAGAGATGGAGAGAAATGGAGAGAGGAACAGAGACATGGAGGCGGGCACTGACTGGTTGCCTTCCGTACGTGCCCCAGCTGGGCACCAAACACACTACGTAGCCATAGCCATGTGCCCTGACCTGGCACCCAGCCTGCAACCTTTTCGTGCAGGAGATGGTGCTCCAACTCACTGAAACACACCGGCCAGGCGCAACGCTAGCCTATTCTATTTTCTCTTTTCTATCCCGCTGAGGCTTTTTAAAAAAGCTGTCTACAGTCTACTTGTCACCTCCCATTCACATCTCAACAGGATGCACTTGGATTCTATCCCCTCGGCTCTCTGGGACTATTTCTGCCTGGGAGCCCTGGTGACCTAATAGTCTTCTCCCTCAGTCCTTTTCAGTGCACGGCTAATCCTGTGGTGACCTCTGAACCTACTGGCTACTTTCCTCTTGAAAGTCTTCCTTCCAGATTGGAGACGCTTTTCCCAGCTGCCTTGGCTTCCTTTTTCGGCCTCCTCTTGCTTTATGTTAGCATTCCAGCCTTCACCTTCTGGTCTGCATCCTGCACGCACCCCCCCAGGGCACAGTCCCCCCTGTAACTTACCTACCAAGACCTCTGACTTCTCTCCGCTCCAGGCCTTTACCTTTACCTCAAATGCCACAAAACCTCATCTGAGCTCACCAATCCAACTCAGTGTCCTTCTCCCCAGTCCTGCTACTCCATTCGTGCTCATCCAGAGGGAACTGAAGACACCATCCCTTCCCCTTCCACGTGCAGTTGGGGACCAAGCCCCACAGGCTCTAGCCCCTCATCTTCATCCACATCATTCTGCCAGTCTTCACTGAGACTGCCACAGCGGCCTCACACCAGGCAGGCTCCCTCCCACCAGTTCCTGCCCCTCCCGGCCGCTGTCCGACACACAGTCAGACAGATTTTTCTAAATTATAACTCTGGTCATAACTATTCCCCACTGAAAACCGTTCATTGGCTCGGCAGCCCAGAGCTATGTCCCACTACTTATGTCTGCCGCTTTGCCTACAGACTGAGTTAAAAAGCTGAGTTTCTAAAGTTCTGAATAGTGCTAGAAGGCATTCTGAATACTGCCCAGTTTTTGAGCGCCCCTCCCCCACTGCCACCCATCCAGGCAGCCCCACCCTTCCCATTGCGACTCCACACTCTCTGTGTGCACCCTTGGTCTCCTGGATCTCAGCCGCAGCACAGCACACACAGCCTCGCCCCTCGGACCGGCCAGCCCTGCTAATCTCACTCACGCTCTCAACTCAGGCTCACTGATGCCAAGGCTCGTGCTTATCCACCCCACCACGCTAATTAATGTTACTTCTTTGAATCCTTGGGCTTACGAAACGTGGGAGGCCAATTCGATAATAAATGGAGCAACAAACTCAAATGACAAGGAAGGAGTGTGTGGAGTGGGCATGAGTAAAAGGGACAGGGACACAAGAGAGTAGAGGTAGCTGTGTGGAAAGCACATCCGAAGATTTGTTCTCCATTTCCTTTGGTGCCAGGATAGGATGGCAAAATATCATATTTTCCCAGTTTCTGTGATTCTTTCATCTTTGTAGCCTTGGCACAATTTCTGATCCATGGCAGGGATTCAATAAATGACTATGGGATAGCACATTTTTGTCGAAGTTTGCAAAACACTGAATGTCTTGCTCCTCCCAGGCCAGTTTCTCTCTCTTTCTCTTTTTTGTCTCTTTCAGTATACCCACTGGCTGTTTAGGGTACACTCATGGTGTGCCCAGTATATCCACTCTTGGTGTTCCCCAAATCATCCTAATACCAAAGAAAGAAAATGCCAAAGAATAAAAACCATAGCTTGAAATAGTAAATCCAGAGAGAGCATTATATAGGAAAATAAAGGAAGAAAATGTTTTCTCTCTCACTTTACTTTCCTACCATTTAAACACAAATTAAATCCATTATGTAGATATAAATAATATTATTGTCAGGAGTAATGGCATAGGAATAGCAAATAAACAGTGAGAAGCTGTAATTTCCAAGGAATGTGCAGGCATTTTCTTGTCCCAGGCCCAGCTGGCCTCCACCTCCACCACCTTGACCCTCATTCATCCGGTGATGCTGCTTTGGACACACACCTTGCATTTCTCATACAGAATCTCCAAACACACACAGACCACAAAGCAGTGAGGCTGACTTCCGCTGACTTAAGAGTCATCTGGAAAACCTGTAAAATACAGATGCCTGGGCCCTCCCATTCTGAGATGAAACAGTGGGAATAAGGCATCCACATTTTAAAAGCATTTTCTTAAGGATTCCATACTTTTCAAATTAAGAAATATTGTCACAGAGATGAGTATTTTAGAACATAAAAGATGTTCACATTGAGTCCCATAATTTGCTTTTAGGCATGGTCCAATTCCACCATGATTACTTTCACAGTCGCTGGTGCTAAGTAATTTATTTAACTAAATGTCAAGAAAATTTTGCTCTTGTCCTCCTAATTGCAGTTACCACATCCTTACAGAAATAGTGCCTATGTACCCTTCATTTGTAACCTATTTTATTAGGTACTTATTTCTGTGACTGAGGCACCTAAGCACCTGAAATATACATTATGCAACTGTGCCTAACTTCTATCCTCATTAAAATGATACTAAAGTCTCAGGGTCTTTTTTTTTCCTGTCCTCACAGCAGGTTGGCAGTCATTCAATTATGCTGTAATTTGGTATTGCTGCTCACTTTACTTTAAGCAGTTCATCTCAATTCTGTTCATTAAGTTCAAAGGCTTACTCTATCCAGATGCCAGGTTTCCTCCACTGGACAAAAGCACAGCAGAAATATTTTCTGCTTGGCAAGGCCTGGCAAATTTTTGGAGGCGTTGTCATGCGGAGCAGAGCACTAGTCAGGTTGTAATTTGCCTTAATTGTCCTTCCCACAAACAGCAACAATGATTACCTCTCAGTCATGGCACTCAAAGAAGGATTTCTTCATAGCCACTGCACAAACCAAAACACTTTCTGCAAACACCTTCCTTACTCAGGATTAGACAGCAAAGACTCTTGGGTTCTGATCACTGAGCAGATTGACAGGGTACAGAGTTCTGAATGGGTTAAGTCAACAACTTGCCTGTGTACCTGTGTGTGCAGATTAGAAACATGGAAATAACTCAAGAGAAATCACTGGTCGCCCATAAAACCACCAGTGTTCTATACGCATAATTTGTTCCACCTGCCACGTTTACAAGGCACCCCAAGGAGGACTAGCTTAAAATCCAGCAATCCATCTGCCTCCCAGTTCTAAGGGGCAATTACTGCCTCAACTAAGCAAAGAGGAATGCCCAGCATGCTGCTAACCATGTCTGGTGACAGATGTATGTGACTGACTTACTCACTGTGGTCATCAGCTTTGCTAATAGTGGCTGGAGTCCCGGTATGATGACAAACACAATTAACTACCAACAAAAAAAGGGGGAGGGGGGAATGGACAGAGACCTAGATGCAGTGAGCCACACCCAGGACACAGATCATACTCATGGGTCTGTTAAAACGAGAAACACAGGCAGGGGGGTTGCAGAAGAAAAGACAGGGAGACATTAGGCCTAGACATTGGTTAAAAATAATTAAAAATAAAAGAGGGGATATGGGAGCAGGTGTTTTGTTACTAGTAGCTGTACTTCCTTATGTACTCTCTTTTTTAAAGAAAGTGTTAGTTAATATTTACTAAAAGTATACAATGTTTTACTTGCTATGCCCACAAAATAGGGCCTGGCCTCCCATATGTACGATATCAACTTAACTGCGCCCAACTGAGGTCACAGGGACTAACAGAAATACACACTGTAAGGAACAGGCTCTTAAAAGGAGGATGATGTTGCAGTAACATTGCCCCAAAATGCATATCTTCAAAGAAATTCCGCTAAGCTATTAAAAGAAGAGCTCTTTGGGGACACACC